AGGGATGCTCCATGTCAAAATGGCGGGATGCATATGGAGCCAGCCTGGTTGGAAGGGTTCCTACAGGAACAAAACCCTGAGGGACCTCAGTGAGATCCGAGCCCTGCTCCTCTCTGGGTGAGCAGGAGGTGAGAACGTCATGGCCGGGATGAGTAGGATCTCTGAATGGGCGAGGGTGCGGGTTCTTAGGGCTGAGTGAGGAGCTGGGCGCCGGGAAAGAGCGTCAACCGTAGACCTTTGCTCCTCTTCACGTGGGGCAGACACCCATCCGACCACTCGTTTCCGTAACAGGAGCTGAATGGCAGGATGCTGGAGTTTTGGACTTCTTAGAATCTTTTTCTGGCAGGTCCAGTCATAGGGGTTGGCTTCTCTCATTTCCTCCCTGCTTTCTGGCTGTTACACTGCTGTAAGTTAGGCCTTCGCTGGGAAGCGAAAGAAGTCACTCCCTGCTCGTTGTCATCCTCTGGTTTCAAAGTTTTATCCAATGGGCTGGCCCTGTAGCACAGCTGTTAGCCGCTGTGTAGAGAAAGCCAGATCCCACATGGCAGACGACGGTTCACATCCCAGCCCTGACAGCTTGAAAAAGCCAGCGTGTGTGCTTCCTTGTCTGGAATCCCAACAAGTTGGAGACATGGAGGACAAGGGATCGCAGCACGACCACACCTCATGGAGGGGGAGTTCTCTCGCTCTCTCATCAGCACATACATTCTCTGGCAATTTCATTTTTTTAAAAGAATTCTTTTTATTGAACTTTGATTATTTATTTGTTTGTTTTTAATTTGGTCAGAGAAGGACAGAGTGAGAGAGAGAGGGAAAGTGAGATAGCAAGCTGCCAGGTCCAGGACTCAAACCATGGTCAGCCATGTGGGAGTCCAGTGTGCTTAACCGCCACACCACCTGCTGGCTCCCATTCTCTGGCAATTTTTTTGGTTTTTTTTTTTTTGGAGAGGTTTTTGCCATAGGGCACGTGCGCTTGCCAGAAAGACAGAGAGACAGACAGAAGGTGAGAAATTACCCCCCAGGGGGGATGGCCATGCCACAGTCCCTTCTCCTCCATTCTCCTCTTGGGATCTTGGGCATGCACACACACACACACTCAGCGTGAGTTTAAGCCTCCAGGTCCAGGCCTCGAACCATGGTTGACTACATGGGAGTCCAGTGGCGTAGCCATTACTCCAACTGCTGGTCCCTCTTGGGCAGTTTTTAAAAAGTAAAGTAAGTGTTTATAGAATGAAATACATGCCCAACATGAAAGGTTGGGAATCTTCTGGTAGACCCCAGTGTTAACACGGAGTAGCTAATGAGCATACTGACAAGTTTCCTGCAGGTGCAATCCCTTGTAGAGATGAAAAAATATGACGGGGCACATCGCCTGTCTCAGTCTGACCTGTAGTCTGTCCTTGGAGGAGGACATCGTTTAACTTCTCACTGTTGGACTCTGAGTCAGCGCTGTTTCCCTCAAAAACCACCTCCATTCTGTGCCATTCCATTTTAAGCACCGTGGCGACATTTTCATTATCAAGGGTTCTCAGGAAGAGGCTTTTTTTTTTTTTTTTACAGTACTCCCAAGAAAATAATGAACATACATGGGAATCCCACAATACCCCTTCCTCCCTTCTTTCCGTAACTGCCTTTTTGATCCATGAGCTAAGATGAATTTCTACAATCTGTTCTCAACTTTCCTGGCAGAAAACAAACATCTTTTCTGAAAAGGAATGTTTGCCTTTTTAGAACAAACACACCAGTCCCTCGTGGTTTTCTGAGTGCCTGGCTCTCTGTCAGCCATCAGTCTGAAGGGGAATTTCCATAGAGACTAGCACCAAATTTAAATCAGAGAAAATTTTACTAGATTTTAGATTGGGGGGGGGCCAGCAGGTGGCATGGTGATTTAGGCGGCTGGACTCCCACATGGTTGACTGTGGTTCAGATCCTGCACCTGGTGGCTTGCTTTCTCACTTTCTCTCTCTCTCTCTCTCTCTCTCTCTGGTCAAATGAAAATAAATAAGTAAGGTTAAATAAAATAATTATTAAAAAAAGATTTTAGATTAGGCACCAAATAATCTGACCTTATAATATACAGAAAATGTATTTGTATCCAGTAACAAGCCAGACATGGGTGGGAAGAGGAAAACCATCTGATTTTTTACCACTTATTATGTATACCTGGGAGTAAATTTAATTGATAGGGAAATCAACTAATTTTTCTATGGTTTATGTTTTTTGGGTTTGTTTTATGTATGTATGTATTTTAGAGACAGGGTCTCGCTGTGTTTTCCAGGCTGGTCTCGAACATAAGATCCTCCTGCCTTAGCCTCCCTGGGATCACAGACATGCTCCACCACACCCAGCTTGTGTCATTCATTCATTCAGTTTTAGTCTTTTGCCATATTGCACTTATGCTTACCAGAGAGAAGCAGAGAGAGGGAAAGTAAGAAATCACCCCCCCATGGGGGATGGCCATGCCACAATCCCTTCTCTTTCATTCTCCTCTTAGGATTGTGGGCACGCACACACACCTGCCCGGCATGATTTTCAAGCTGCCAGGTCTGGGACTCGAACCACAGTCGGCCATGTGGTAGTCCAGTGCCTTAAGCACCACGCCACCTGCTGGCCTCATGCATTATTTTATGCCATGTTACTAGTAGTGCTTTACAGCGTATTTGAGTAAATAACTAGAACGAGGGGCCAGCATGTGGTGTGGTTAAAGGCACTGGACTCCCATATGGCCAACCATGGTTCGAGTCCCAGACCTCTCGGCTTTCTCTCCCTCTCTCTTACTCTGTCCCTCTCTGGTCAAATATAAATAAATACAGTAAAATAATTCTTAAAAAAGAAAAACTAGAATGATGTAATAGATTCTTGAGGCATTTGCCTTTGTTATTAATAATAAAGTCCAGGGTGCTTCCCAGGGCTGTACGTTGGCATATGTCAAGACCAGCCACACCAACCTCATCTGGCTTCACGAAGACCCAAACCTGGGAATTCCAGGGGAGTGTGCTGTAACTGCAGAATCTAACCGCTGGTAGTGAGATACCCGTAATATGTTGAATGCCATGTCCAACCCACTGACTTTTCAGGGAATGACTAGAAGCGGAAGGAAAAAGGACAGAAAAATG